GTTATAATCAGAACTGAATCGCAGAGTTGTTCTTTGTAGACAACGTCTGTAATAAAAGGAGAATGAAAGCCAAGCTGTTATCTCTAGCACAGTCTGTTGTGTGAAGGGAGTGTTGGAACTTCCACGGGCGGAACTACACAAGGAGGTTTGGGGGACGCGGGGAACAGCATTGTGTGTTACACATCACACCGTACCTGAATACGCTGGACAGCCGCTCTCTGCTTCCGGTACAGGTAATAGAAGAGGCTGCTGAGGGCCAGGCTAGAGCCCACACACACCGTGTCCAGGCCTGACAGCTCCATGTCACGCCAGCCACCTAGCGGGTCAAAATCACTATAAACCACACACGCTTCCTTCCTCCTCCAGCATTCTCCGGAGCTGGGCACTACTCCTCCCGAGAGCCTCTGCGGCGCTAAACTGCCCTTCCCGGCATACACCGAGCCTACTGCACTCACGTGGTCTCTGTGGCCTCCCTCTGTAGTTACAACTGTGTGAGAGGGCACAGGAGGGGAAGCCAGCCAACACAATCAGAACAGCACACAACACTACAAATTGGAGGCTTCTTGGTTTTTTTTTTTTTATTTAGCTAACTGGTCCCTGTTACAGACTCGGAAATAGTTTCCCCCCCCCCCCTTCCTTGCCAGGCCAATTTTCAGTGCCGTCGCACTTTGAATGACAATTGAGCGGTCGTGCAACACTGTATCCAAACTAAATTTTGATCAGTTTTTCGAGATGAATAGAACTTTCTTTTGGCAGTATTTAACCACCACTGGGGTTTTTATTTCTTGCTAAACAAACATAAAAAGACCACAAATCTTGAAATAAAAGTTTTCTTAGGCTCTGTTATAAAGTTTTGTAAATAAGAGATTTTTCTCCTTCACTGATTAGCACTGATAGACTGCACTGATGGTCATTGATGAGGAGGCACTGATGAGGCTGCACTGATATGCGACACTGATGGGCATTGATAGGTGGCAATGACAGCCAGCACTGATGGGAACTGATAGGCTGCACTGATGGGCATTGATGAGGAGGCACTGATGAGGCTGCACCGATATGCGACACTGATGGGCATTGATAGGTGGCAATGACAGCCAGCACTGATGGAAACTGATAGGCTGCACTGATGGGCATTGATGAGGAGGCACTGATGAGGCTGCACCGATATGCGACACTGATGGGCATTGATAGGTGACAATGACAGCCAGCACTGATGGAAACTGATAGACTGCACTGATGGGCATTGATGAGGAGGCACTGATGAGGCTGCACCGATATGCGATACTGATGGGCATTGATAGGTGGCAATGACAGCCAGCACTGATGGGAACTGATAGGCTGCACTGATGGGCATTGATGAGGAGGCACTGATGAGGCTGCACCGATATGCGACACTGATGGGCATTGATAGGTGGCAATGACAGCCAGCACTGATGGGAACTGATAGGCTGCACTGATGGTCATTGATGAGGAGGCACTGATGAGGCTGCACCGATATGCAACACTGATGGGCATTGATAGGTGGCAATGACAGCCAGCACTGATGGGAACTGATAGGCTGCACTGATGGTCATTGATGAGGAGGCACTGATGACGATATGCAACACTGATGGGCATTGATAGGTAGCAATGACAGCCAGCATTGATGGGCACTGAAAACCTTCACTAATGTGTGCTTATGAGGTGGCACTGATAGGCTGCACTGATGGGCAGATGAGAAGGCACTGCTGAGGCTGAACTGATATGCGGCACTGCTGGGCACAGATAGGTGGTAATGACAGCCAACACAGATGGGCACTATTGGCCACACTGATGGAGCTACACTGATTATCAGGGCACTGATGATCAGTGAAGATGTACCCCTGAGAAATGCCGCTTACCAGCTCCCTGCTTCTCACACATTGTCAGCATGAGAAGAAGACTGCTGATAAACGAAATTTCCTATTTGCACTGTGATCAGCTATGATTGGACACAGCTGATCACATGGTAATAGACGACTCTTATCGGCCCTTTACCTGGACACGTGATCAGCTGTGTCCCAAGGACACAGCGATCACAGATTGCGCACGGTGCGCTCCTTAGGGGATGCATGGAGGGGGGGGGGGGGTTTCTGGGAGGACGTCCATGGATGCCCTCCCTGAACTAGCCAACCGTGCTGTAGCCATCTTTTGGCTATACCATGGTCTGGAACTGGTTAATCTGTTCACTGCCATTTTTTGCAAACGTATTAAAAATAAAAATCATGTTAGTCCTAAAAATTAAGTAAAACCCCCAAACATTATATATTTTCTGAAAGTAGACATCGTAGGGAATGAAATTGTGGTAGATTGAATTTTTTATACCACACGATTTTAGCACAACAGTTTAGGAAACTCAGCATTCCCGTAAAAAAAATACACTAAAGTGAATTTTAGGGCACAAAAACACAATATATTACACAATTTCTTGATAAAATGTAGAAGGCAAGGTTGTGCTGAGTAAATAGACACCCAACATGTCAAGCCTTAAAATTGCAGTGACAAACTTTGGTACCCTATATTTTCCATAGGCGGTGCTTTAAAAGCCCTACAGGTCATCATTTTAGAGTTGATCATGAATAATGGGCCTAGAGTAACTGATCTCACATAACGCTCAATCAATGTTTTTGTGCGTAGGCGCCCCAACGCATGCATTTATGTTTGTATGTGGGCTGTGAGCTGTTTTGCTTCCATTTGAGTCAGGTTGTTAGATTTACACACACTGCAACCTATGTCGGTGGTAGGAAAAGGGTTAAAGCCTAAGTTTACTTAACCTCTTGCCTACTGGGCACTTATGCCCCCTTCGTGCCCAGGCCAATTTTCAGATTTCAGCGCTGTTGCTCTTTGACAATTGCGCGGTCATGCAACATTGTACCCATATGACATTTTTAGCATCTTTTTCACACAAATAGAGCTTTCTTTTGGTGGTATTTAATCGCCACTGGGTGTTTTATTTTTTGCGCTATAAACAAAAGAAGAGCAAAAAAATTTAAAAAAAAGTTTTTATTTCCATTATAAAATTTTGTAAACAGGTAATTTTTCTCCTTCACTGATGTGCGTTGATGAGGTTGCACTGATGGGCACGGATGGGCAGCACTGATGGGCACTGATAGGCGGCATTGATATGCAACAATGATGGGCACTGATAGGCGGCACTGCTGGGCTGCACTGACTGTCAGCACTGCTGGGCACCACTGATGGGGGGCACTGATGGGTGGCACTACTAGGCACTGATGGGCACAGGTGGGTGGCACTGATGGGCACTTGTGGGCGGCACTACTGGACACTGATCATCAGTGCCCTGATAATCGGTGCCGATCTGTCCTCTGACAATTTCTGGTTATCGGCAGTACTTTCCTCATGCTGTGACAAGGAAATTGCAGCTGATAACCGGCAACTGCATTTACCAGTAATCTGCTGTGTCATTGGACACAGCTGATCACGTGGTAAAAGGCCGCTGTGATTGGCCTGTTACCACAACATGTGACCAGCTGTGTCCGTAGGACACAGCGATCAGGGAGATCTCCGCGTGTGTGTCCCTGGAGGCGTGCGGAGGGTGCACTCTGGGAGGACATCATATGGCACCCTCCCAGAACTGGACAACAGCGCTATAGCCATCATTCGGCTATAGCGCGGTTGGCAAGTGGTTAAAAACAAGGAACATCACATATGATCAATGCCATGTGCCCATTGTTTTGCTGTTTGCCCCCCTCCCCCCAATCTGCCGCCAATAGTGCAATGGGAGCTGCCACAGGTTCTTGTCAAGAGTGCCCGATCGTGCCTGCCCAGCTCCTCCATTCATAGAAGCTGTACTACATCTTCTACGTATAAATAAAAAAGGTTCTATGAATGAAGGATGGGCAGATGATTGATAGTGCCACCCTCTCCATCCATAGATCACATTTTATTCATAGAAGCTGTAGTATGGCTTCTATGAATGGAAAAGCTGGGAAGGCTTAGTGGGACACTCTTGAAAAGAGCCTGCAGCAGCTACTTACTTTTATTAACCCTTGCCACATTCAGGCTTTAAAGTGACCCAGTTACAGATGAGTGAAAAGACTTTATAAGTGGTTGTAAAGGCTCAAGGTTTTTTTTTTATCTTCATGCATTCTATGCATAAAAGTAAAAGACATTCTGTGTGCAGCAGCTCTCCCTATTACCTGAGCCCCATTACAATCCAGCGATGTTCATGAGAGCCTCGTCTCTCTGGGAACTCTCCCTTCTCATTGGCTCAGCCAGTAAGCCAATGAGAAGAGAGGGGGGGCCGAGCCATGGCTCTGTGTGTGAATGAAATGCTCTGGGGGCACTTGGCAGGAGGGAGGGCCCAGGAGCGCCGACGGGGGGAGCCAAGAAGAAGATACTGCTCCATGCAAAACCACTGCACAGAGCAGGTGTGTATGACATGTTTTTTTTTTCGCTGTAGTTAGGAGATTTAGAGGCTTTTCTCGACTTCATCATGGTGGTTTTGCCTCATTGACTTGCATTTCTCAGGCACTCCTATTAAAGTCTAAGGAGACAAAAATGCTTGATTCCGCCCCAAAAGGGGATTTAAGAAAAAAAGACAAAAAAGTTGTAAATTCCCAACCATGGCGCCTCCTGCATGGAGTTTGCATGTTCTCCCTGTGCTTGTGTGGGTTTCCTCTGGGTACTTCGGTTTCCTCCCACACTCCAAAGACATGCTGGTAGGTTCATTGGATCCTGTCTAAATTGGCCCTAATATCTGTATGTATGAATGTACGTTAGGGACCTTAGATTGTACACCCCTTGAGGGTTAGGGACTGATGTGAATGTACAATATATATGTAAAGCGCTGCGTAAATTGACGGCGCTATATAAGTACCTGAAATAAATAAATAGGCTGGGACAGAGTGGGTCAGAGGCTGGCACAATTTGCCCTACAGGTGGGTTTTAAAGCTCGTTTAAAGTGGAGTTCCACTCATGCTGTCAAAAAATAAAACTCAGCTGCTGATTTTTCAAAAACAGCCACTTACCTGTCCCTCGGTCCCGTGGTGTGTTCCCTGCAGCCCGTTTCACCAGCCGTCCTGTATTCCAGGAGGCCAGCATCTTCACTGTGGGCACCCGGCTGTGAGCCGGCTACCCACTGCGCATGTGTGAGTAGTGTTGCGCTTCATGAATGGTCCTGTAGTCTTCTGGGACCTGTCACGTGTCCCAAAAGACTACAGGGAGGGAGGACACCTAGGCGATCAGACCGGAAGTGGGAGCGGGTACCTGTCAAATTTGGGTACCTGCTCCCCCCCCCCCCACCCCTAAAGGTGCCAATCCTTAATGGGGAGCGGGGGAGCAGTCCTTAAAGTGGAACCTCCCCTTTTGGGTGGGGCTCCGCTTTAAGGCTGTTTACTTTTTTTTTTAATTTACCTTTATCAAAATATCACAGAATTACATTTAATTGAAGTTTATACACTACAGCATGTTGCAACCTGGTGCATTGAACTGCAAAAAAATGCAGACATGCTGGATTTGTATGCAGCGCACCTCAACACAGCGTTATGGTGGGAACAGGACACACAGAATAAATTTGTTTTCTAGGCACCCTTGCATTGAGCTGGCGTTGATCTATGCACATTAACGCAGCTCAATAGCACAACCGGAGCCTAAGAGCATGTTCGCATCAGTCTGCACACTAAAACACAAACACATTGGTGTATGTTGGGTGGGGCCAGTGAAGGGCATCAGATTGAATTGTTTAAATTTTATTTTTAATAGGCTTTATTGAAGTTTCACAAAATTACACTTTATTCAACTGACTTGTGCTATGCTAAAATGCATACCGTACATCATTTAATTTCATGCAGCGCACACGAGTACACATGTGTAAACAGCACAAAGAAAACAATTTTTTTGTTATGTACTGAGCTTTCCTTGACCTATGCAGATCAACACAGCTTAACAGACATGGTTTGACTGAGCCCTCACTCTTTGCTAATAATGTGTAAATACTGGAATGTCCATAGTCCAGCTACCACACACATAATCATATAAAAAGCCACTGTTTACTGAATATTCTTTGTGTAATTTAATTTTAAAGAAGGACCCCAGGAATTGCACCATTTTTTAAAAACTGCTGGCTTTCAAAGGGTTAAATCCAACAAGATATAAACCTCCTCAGGCATTTATCTCTTTTATTTTCTATTTGCATTTTTACTGAGCACTGGGAGTACAGCTATTACTCCCAGAGCTGTGCAGAGAAATGCGGCTGCTCAGTGAATGCCCGCACCTCCCCTCTGCTTATTTACAGAATAATTTGTAGTTTTTGAATGGATTCACACAATACAAATTCTTCTGTGATTGGGCAAGAGGAAGAGCAGGCAGAGTGGCTGCACAAAACTCTACAACCGCAGGAGACCAGCACTAAAGTGCCAGTGCTCACTAAAATAGAAAGTAAATGTAAAAAAGTAAATTAAAGAGATGAGTCCATGAGGTGGCATACAGCTCATTGAACTTAAAGTAGTTCTAAAGCTAAAACATTTCTTCACTTTAATGCATTCCCTGTATTATGGTAAAAAAAGTTTTTCCATTTGCTGTTTCACCCCCCACAAACATTTTCCTGGGTCTTATATTGATCCAGCTCTGTGCCCATCTGCAGTTTCTTCCCCCTGTCATTGTTTTCTCACAAGAAGATCAAGAAGCAGTGGAAGCCATTGGCTCCTACCGCTTTCAGTCAAATCATGTGAGCAGAGAGCGGGCGGTGGGGCCGAGCCACACTGTGTTTCTATGAACAGACACAGTTCGGCTCAGGAGTGTGCCAGCATGTCTGCCCCATACCAAGTGGCTTGCTATTGCAGCAGACACTGAAGAGGAGAAGCTGAGAGCATTGATGGAGGACCAGGGGCGGACTGACCATTTGGAAACTCGGGCACTGCCCGAGGGCCCGGGGTCAGTAGGGGGCGCCATGAGATGCCCCTGGTACCTTTTTCGTAGGCTTTTTTGAGTTTGGGCAAGGACACGGGCCTCATGATCCCCTTTTGCCCGGGGGCCCCATGAGTTATCAGTCCGCCCCTGTGGAGGACCCAAGAAGAGGAGGTTCAGGGACACCCTGTTCAATATCATTATATATAGTATACCATGTTTATTATTTTAATTAAAAAAATACCTTTAGAAATACTTTTATCCCTTATAAGCCAGCATTTTTTTTTTTAACTGCTGCAATTCCTGGTGTTCTTCTTCAACCCTGTGTACAGGACACTGGGAATGTGTCTTGGACGGTGGGTATATTCCCCTAGTATTTGAGTTGTCGTTCCTTAAAGGGGGGAAGTTTTGAAGACGTTGTGTACTCAGGGGTTTTCACCCATGCAGGGTGAGGTGGTTCAGGGTAGTTTGGCTAGAGAGGACTGACTTCCAGTACTCTCTGGATTGATAAGTCTTTATTAGGGGCCCAGAATTTCAGAGGTTTGAAGAGTTTTGGGAGGCAAGAACCTCCAAACCCTGATTACATGGACTCTGGTTCTGAAGGGGTTAGGCCAAAGGCAAGGGGGTCTTGAAAAGCAGTGGGATGGAATCAGCACCTGTGTCATTGAGGCAGAGTGGAGTAGTTCGCAAGCTGTGAGCAAATCTGACAACTGAGATGCTTGTTTCTGAAACCTAACACCAGTGTGGGCCCGTGAAATTGGCGGCGAGCCTGCTGTGTGGTTCCCTTTAAAACAAACTATGTACTGTTTGCTTTTCTTTTTTGCCAAAGAAAATTATTTTTGTTTATCTTCTTGCTTTCAGGCCTGGTTCACACTGTGTGGGTCGGTTGCAGGAATCGCATCTGTTCCCGCACCCACAACCATCCGCAGCTGAATTGCGCTGCTCTTACAAGACGCGCAGGGCTGCCATTCATCCTGAATGGCACCCTCATGCATCTCAGCCTGCAGTGTGATTGGTTTCTTTGCGGATGAGTTTTTGAAAAGGTGCATGCACCTTTTTCCTGTGTGAAACGTAGGCACAGCAGCTCGCACTAGTGTGAACAAGGCCTAAAAAGCGGTTGTTGGTGATCTCGGGACCCCCCATATGGTACCGTATTTGGGCTAGTTTAATACTATTACCCTATAATTGTCTACTATAAATTGTGTATTTTAAAGACATTGGGGGCTGTTTTTCTGTTTAATTTGATTTATTAATTTCAAAGCAAAAAGTAACTGAATTAGTGATGCAGGGGCTACAATAAATGAATGACAAATACGAGGACATAGACTAAGACACAAATGCAATGTCTAAAACAAGTACGTTCAAGGACTCCAACAGTTTTTGCATTATGGAACGTTCTTAAAAGTTAAAGTGAATGAATTGATACAAGGACCAAGTAATGCCAAAAAGATAAGTAATGAGGAAAGAACAGTCAGAAATGAAAGACTAGGAAGAAAGGAGGGGGACACAAGGAGGAAACAAAAGTCCTCTCCCATAAACTCTAAGGGATTCAATTATTTATAGGACACTCAGGCAAATGGGGTCAAGGAGGGCATAGCATCAGGCCACAATTTCTTTAAAGCAGAGGTTCGGTCTGTAAAAAAATAAATAAATAAAAGCAGCTACAAATCCTATAGCTGCTGACTTTTAATAAATGGACACCTACCTGTCCCAGAATCCAGCGCCATCCTCACTGGGGCTAGTTCTTCACTAGCCTCTGAGTTCCTGGCTTCGGCTTCCTAACTGTGAGCAGTCGACTGCAGTTTTCAACTTCACAGTCGGGTGTCCACTGTGCATGTGTGAGTCATACTGCACTCTGTGAATGGTCTCTCAGTCTTCTTGGACCTGTCACATATCTCAGAAGACTATGGGGAGGGATGTTGGAAGGAGAACTTTTGCTCGGATCACCTAGGCGGATACCTGTCAAAACTAGGTACCCGCTCTCCCCCTCCAAAATTACAATCCAATTTAGGCAGAGGAGTGGGGGAGGATGTCTTAAAGCGAAACTTCCCCTTATGGGTGCAGCGCCACTTTAAATTTCAAAATAGTCACTGATACACATTTTATATGGATATTATTGTTTCATAAATTTTTATGATAAACTTACAATGAGAGTCAGACAAACCCCTTGTGGTATACATACACTCTGGCACAGGCTATGTCTAAATAATAATTCTTTCTTTTAAAGTGGTACTAAACATGCATGGGTAGAGGTGAGCACCATAATGTTCAGGTATCACATCATACTTGCACATTATAGTACGCTTTAACTCCTACTGTGATGTCCAGTTCAGAAATAACTGGTCTAGGATCCTGTCAACACTTCATCCCTTGCTTCTACTATCACAACCAATATTTCTTTTGGGTCCCATGGCAATCCTCTCCCATAGGAAAGCCACTGCTAATCTAACGTCTGTCGACATGCCAAGTATGATCAGGGCTTTACATTACCTGCTTGCACTGTGCAGTGTACAGAACAGACCAAAAAACATCACCAGGAGCCAGGGAAAAGGTTTCTTGGCAAAAATTCTACCTCCTGGTGATGTTCTACTTTATATAGATCTCCAGTTTTCTATGAACTTGTGTGTTGACAGGAGGAGGAGAGCAGTCAGGCCACTAACAAGAACAGTGACTCTTCACTTCTACTGTATAGGATCCATATTGTTTAGTAGATGTCACAGATTTCAGTACATTTTTTTTAATTCACAATCATTTTCCAAGAGGATAAATGTGAGAAACCATCAAAGCGTCCTCTGTTTTTCACTATTGTAGTACTTTTGTAACTGACAGTACCATGCCATGGGCCATATACCCTTGAGATCAAAAATAGTCAGATTTGGACTACATAGTATAATGTGGTTTTTTAACAAGATGTCTTTCTAAGATTCCAAGCACAATGTGATTTTCATTAGGCTGCTTTTGGAATTCCCCAGTGTCTAACTTCCCAAAATAATCACCAGCATGACATTATTTAGCTTTACAAAGATATATGGCTCTTGCAGGGTGAGCACTCTCAAAAGCAATTACAATTAAGATAGGAATTTTTCTCTGGTAAAACAAATTGGGCCCTGTTTTATCTTAGGTTTTTATCCTTTGCCTAAATCACCTGGGGAGTTTCAGGATACATTATACTTTTTAAAACTGGCCCCCGCACCTATTTATGTATAGTAATGCACATTAAGACTCACATTTAACACATTACTGCAATGTGATATAATGCTTGCATTGGAGCTCAATAATACAGCATACATCAACACATGAAAAAAAAAAAACCCACACGTTGTCACATGCACAGATTTGAAGGACACTTAAGGATGAACTCGATAGACATTCGTCTTTTACAATAATAGGTACCATACTCTAGGGGCTTTATAACTATGTTTCCCAAGTGGCATGTTGTGATTTTGTTCAAGGGAAAGCAGCAACCTTCAACTATGCAAGTG